CTCGCCTCCTGCCTCGTCAAATGCAATAGGGGTTGCATGATGCTGATGATGCTCGCCTCCCGCCTCGTCAAATGCGCCCAACCACTTGGGGGAGTTGGTGCAGCAAGCGTCTGGAGCAGTAGGGTTTGGAGGGCAGGAAAGGAGCCCCGATGATGCTGATGATGCTCGCCTCCCGCGTCGTCAAATGCGCCCGACAACTTGGGGAGTTGGTGCAGCAAGCGTCTGGAGCATTAGGGTTTGGAGGGCAGGAAAGGAGCCCCGATGATGCATGCTCGCCTACCACTTGGGGGAGTTGGTGCAGCAAGCGTTTGGAGCATTAGGGTTTGGAGGGCAGGAAAAGAGCCCCGATGATGCTCATGATGCTCGCCTCCCGCGTCGTCAAATCCGCTCCACTGCTTGGGGGAGTTGGTGCAGCAAGTGTTTGAATCATTAGGGGCTCGCCTACCACTTGGGGGAGTTGGTGATGATGCTCACGACTCGCCTCCCGCCTCGTCAAATGCGCCCAACCACTTGGGGGAGAGGGTGCAGCAAGCGTTTGGAGCATTAGGGCTTGGAGGGCAGGAAAGGAGCCCCGATGATGCAAATGATGCTCGCCTCCCGCGTCGTCAAATGCGCCCAACCACTTGGGGGAGTTGGTGCAGCAAGCGTTTGGAGCATTAGGGTTTGGAGGGCAGGAAAGGAGCCCCGATGATGCTCATGATGCTCGCCTCCCGCCTTGTCAAATGCGCCCAACCACTTGGGGGAGTTGGCGCAGCAAGCGTCTGGAGCATTGGGGTTTGGAGGGCAGGAAAGGAGCTCCGATGATGCTCATGATGCTCGCCTCCCGCCTCGTCAAATGCGCCCAACCACTTGGGGGAGTTGGTGCAGCACAAGCTTTGGAGCACATTATGGTTTGTGGTCCTGAAAGTGAGCCCCGTGAGTCGCAGGCTCGCGCCTCCCCCGCGTCGTCAATGCGCCCACCACGTGGATTTGGTGCAGCAAGCTTTTGGAGCATTAGGGTTTGGAGGGCAGGAAAGTACCCCGATGATGCGCTGAATTGCGCGCCTCCCGCGTCGTCAAATTCGCCCAACCACTTGGGGCGTCTGGAGCACTAGGGTTTGGAGGGCAGGAAAGGAGCCCCGATGATGCTCATGATGCTCGCCTCCCGCCTTGTCACATGCGCCCAACCACTTGGGGGAGTTGGTGCAGCAAGCGTCTGGAGCACTAGGGTTTGGAGGGCAGGAAAGGAGCCCCGATGATGCTCATGATGCCCGCCTCCCGCCTCGTCAAATGCGCCCAACCACTTGGGGGAGTTGGTGCAGCAAGCGTCTGGAGCACTAGGGTTTGGAGGGCAGGAAAGGAGCCCCGATGATGCTCATGATGCTCGCCTCCCGCCTCGTCAAATGCGCCCAAACACTTGGGGGAGTTGGTGCAGCAAGCGTCTGGAGCACTAGGGATTGGAGGGCAGGAAAGGAGCCCCGATGATGCTCATGATGCTCGCCTCCCGCCTCGTCAAATGCGCCCAACCACTTGGGGGAGTTGGTGCAGCAAGCGTCTGGAGCACTAGGGTTTGGAGGGCAGGAAAGGAGCCCCGATGATGCTCATGATGCTTGCCTCGCGCCTCGTCAAATGCGCCCAACCACTTGGGGGAGTTGGTGCAGCAAGTGTCTGGAGCACCAGGGTTTGGAGGGCAGGAAAGGAGCCCCGATGATGCTCATGATGCTCGCCTCCCGCCTCGTCAAATGCGCCCAACCACTTGGGGGAGTTGGTGCAGCAAGCGTCTGGAGCACTAGGGTTTGGAGGGCAGGAAAGGAGCCCCGATGATGCTCATGATGCTCGCCTCCCGCGTCGTCAAATGCGCCCAACCACTTGGGGGAGTTGGTGCAGCAAGCGTTTGGAGCATTAGGGTTTGGAGGGCAGGAAAGGAGCCCCGATGATGCTCATGATGCTCGCCTCCCGCGTCGTCAAATGCGCCCAACCACTTGGGGGAGTTGGTGCAGCAAGCGTTTGGAGCATTGGGGTTTGGAGGGCAGGAAAGGAGCCCCGATGATGCTCATGATGCTCGCCTCCCGCGTCGTCAAATGCGCCCAACCACTTGGGGGAGTTGGTGCAGCAAGCGTTTGGAGCATTGGGGTTTGGAGGGCAGGAAAGGAGCCCCGATGATGCTCATGATGCTCGCCTCCCGCGTCGTCAAATGCGCCCAACCACTTGGGGGAGTTGGTGCAGCAAGCGTTTGGAGCATTGGGGTTTGGAGGGCAGGAAAGGAGCCCCGATGATGCTCATGATGCTCGCCTCCCGCGTCGTCAAATGCGCCCAACCACTTGGGGGAGTTGGTGCAGCAAGCGTTTGGAGCATTGGGGTTTGGAGGGCAGGAAAGGAGCCCGATGATGCTCATGATGCTCGCCTCCCGCGTCGTCAAATGCGCCCAACCACTTGGGGGAGTTGGTGCAGCAAGCGTTTGGAGCATTGGGGTTTGGAGGGCAGGAAAGGAGCCCCGATGATGCTCATGATGCTCGCCTCCCGCGTCGTCAAATGCGCCCAACCACTTGGGGGAGTTGGTGCAGCAGCGTTTGGAGCATTGGGGTTTGGAGGGCAGGAAAGGAGCCCCGATGATGCTCATGATGCTCGCCTCCCGCGTCGTCAAATGCGCCCAACCACTTGGGGGAGTTGGTGCAGCAAGCGTTTGGAGCATTGGGGTTTGGAGGGCAGGAAAGGAGCCCCGATGATGCTCATGATGCTCGCCTCCCGCGTCGTCAAATGCGCCCAACCACTTGGGGGAGTTGGTGCAGCAAGCGTTTGGAGCATTAGGGTTTGGAGGGCAGGAAAGGAGCCCCGATGATGCTCATGATGCTCGCCTCCCGCGTCGTCAAATGCGCCCAACCACTTGGGGGAGTTGGTGCAGCAAGCGTTTGGAGCATTAGGGTTTGGAGGGCAGGAAAGGAGCCCCGATGATGCTCATGATGCTCGCCTCCCGCATCGTCAAATGCGCCCAACCACTTGGGGGAGTTGGTGCAGCAAGCGTTTGGAGCATTAGGGTTTGGAGGGCTGGAAAGGAGCCTCGATGATGCTCATGATGCTCGCCTCCTGCATCGTCAAATGCGCCCAACCACTTGGGGGAGTTGGTGCAGCAAGCGTTTGGAGCATTAGGGTTTGGAGGGCTGGAAAGGAGCCCCGATGATGCTCATGATGCTCGCCTCCCGCGTCGTCAAATGCGCCCAACCACTTGGGGAAGTTGGTGCACAAAGCGTTTGGTGAGGAGCATTGGGGTTTGGAGGGCAGGAAAGGAGCCCCGTGATTCTCAGATGCGCGCCTCCCGCGTCGTCAAATGCGCCCAAGCCTGGGGGGAGTTGTGCAGTCAACGTTTGGAGCATTGTGGTTTGGGGGGCAGGAAAGGAGCCCCCGATGTGCTCATGATGCTCGCCTCCTCCCTGCGTCGTCAAATGCGCCCAACCACTTGGGGGAGTTTGGTGCAAGCAAGCGTTTTTTGGAGCATTGGGGTTTGGAGGCAGGAAAGGAGCCCGATGATGCTCATGATGCGCGCCTTCCCGCGTCGTCAAATGCGCCCAACCCTTGGGGGCGTTGGTGCAGCAAGCGTTTGTGCATTGGGGTTTTGAGGGCAGGAAAGGGCCCCGATGATTGCCTGCTGCTAGCCCTCCCGCGTCGGTCAAATGGCCCAACCACTTGGGGGAGTTGGTGCAGGCAAGCGTTGGAGCATTGGGGTTTGGAGGGCAGGAAAGGAGCCCCGATGATGCTCATGATGCTCGCCGCCCGCCTCGTCAAATGCGCCCAACCACTTGGGGGAGTTGGTGCAGCAAGCGTCTGGAGCATCAGGGTTTGGAGGGCAGGAAAGGAGCCCCGATGATGCTCATGATGCTCGCCTCCCGCCTCGGCAAATGCGCCCAACCACTTGGGGGAGTTGGAGCAGCAAGCGTCTGGAGCACTAGGGTTTGGAGGGCAGGAAAGGAGCCCCGATGATGCTCATGATGCTCGCCTCCCGCCTCGTCAAATGCGCCCAACCACTTGCGGGAGCTGGTGCAGCAAGCGTCTGGAGCATTAGGGTTTGGAGGGCAGGAAAGGAGCCCCGATGATGCTCATGATGCTCGCCTCCCGCCTCGTCAAATGCGCCCAACCACTTGGGGGAGTTGGTGCAGCAAGCGTCTGGAGCATTAGGGTTTGGAGGGCAGGAAAGGAGCCCCGATGAGGCTCATGATGCTCGCCTCCCGCCTCGTCAAATGCGACCAACCACTTGGGGGAGTTGGTGCAGCAATCGTCTCGAGCATTAGGGTTTGGAGTGCAGGAAAGGAGCCCCGATGATGCTCATGATGCTCGCCTCCGCCTCGTCAAATGCGCCCAACCACTTGGGGGAGTTGGTGCAGCAAGCGTCTGGAGCACTAGGGTTTGGAGTGCAGGAAAGGAGCCCCGATGATGCTCATGATGCTCGCCTCCCGCCTCGTCAAATGCGCCCAACCGCTTGGGGGAGTTGGTGCAGCAAGCGTCTGGAGCATTGGGGTTTGGAGGGCAGGAAAGGAGCCCCGATGATGCTCATGATGCTCGCCTCCACCTCGTCAAATGCGCCCAACCCTTTGGGGATGCTTCCCGCGTCGTCAAATGCGCCCAACCACTTGGGGGAGTTGGTGCAGCAAGCGTTGGAGCATTGGGGTTTGGAGGGCAGGAAAGGAGCCCCGATGATGCTCATGATGCTCGCCTCCCGCGTCGTCAAATGCGCCCAACCACTTGGGGGAGTTGGTGCAGCAAGCGTTTGGAGCATTGGGGTTTGGAGGGCAGGAAAGGAGCCCCGATGATGCTCATGATGCTCGCCTCCCGCGTCGTCAAATGCGCCCAACCACTTGGGGGAGTTGGTGCAGCAAGCGTTTGGAGCATTGGGGTTTGGAGGGCAGGAAAGGAGCCCCGATGATGCTCATGATGCTCGCCTCCCGCGTCGTCAAATGCGCCCAACCACTTGGGGGAGTTGGTGCAGCAAGCGTTTGGAGCATTGGGGCTTGTTCGCCCACTTTGCCAAGGCCTGGGATGAGTACGCTTCCGAACTCTGTGCCATGCCGGAGACCCCAGCAACCAGGATTTAGGGTTTCGGGCCGGTTTGGCATGGGTGCTGTTCTCAGTCAGGGTCCCTTTTTGGGGGTGTCTTTCTTATAAGTGGGCCCAACTGTCCCATCATGAAAGGTACAGGCCAGATCATCCCAACCTCACACCCTAAATCCCTAAGAACCCTAAGCCCGATAGCCCTGAAAACCTAAGAAGCACGAACCTTGAGAGGCACCGGCCTTGGTGGAATGCCGCTCAGGACGAGGTGGGTCTGGTTTTCGACTTCCACGGCAGAGCCTGACTTGCGCACCACCCCCCCCCCCCCCCAATAATAAGACAAACCGAGTGGGTCTAGCAAAGAACCTGCGTTCCCACGACAAGTTTGTTTGCTTTCAGATCCGTTGCGGTGAGCAGAAGGTCTTCATCGGATTCGTCTGTTGTATGATGAATGTAAAAGTACATACAAACACATATGCGCACATATGTGTATGAATATATATATATATGGTCACAAACTATATTAGTCGGGGCTAGTGTCTATTTTGTGATTTGAGCTAGTTGTGCTCGTTGAATAACTGTGATAATCGGGCTAGTTCTGTTTATCAAGTCTATTTGGTTATTCTCACTGAATACAAAAGCATACAAAAGCAACGACAATCGCATCTCCGCCTCGAGCACCGGGTTGTCCCAATGACTGTCCGTCATTCTGATTCAATATTCCCTGGCCATGTTGAACAGAGAAAACTTTATTTAACGAAAACTGTAGCTGACCTCCAATTATGTCAATAAAACAAGATAGGTTATCTGCATCTACAACTTGTGGTTGGGGGGTCAACATAGTCAGGAAGTGTGTAGCCTTTATAAGTGTTGTTCATGCAATGAAGCGGCATACGTCTTGGGTTAAAAGGCAGAGCCATTTGTTCTATGATTTTGCAAGGCATATAACCAGCCCCCTAATGACAAAACAGCCTACCTAGCCCCAGTTTGTCATCATCAGGTTGGGTTAAAACTTGATGAGCCTTTGATGTTTCATGAGTTTAAACCCTGTATTCGAGATGCGTATTCAGAATTTGTGAAAGCCTCGTCTCACTTAAATAAGGTTTACACAGGCTTCACGGCTTCATGGCCAGAACTTGTAGAAAATCCTTTTGGTTACATACAAGGTTATCCCGCCGATGAGTTTTTAGTGCCAATCATAATTCAAATCAATTCATGATTCAATGGCCTTTAAACGCGCCATCGGGGTAAAGCGGGAGCTCAGCCTCAATCTCTCTTAATGTCACGCGAAAAAAGTGATACTTCCTACTCCTCTTAAATACTGAATGCCTTGCTCAATGATAGCGAAAGGAGGCTAAATTTGTGTAAAAGCGAACCCGTCTTTTCGGCTTGAGACAGCGGCTAGACTTTTCCACTAGGGCAACTATCTGCTCAGGGGAGAATCTCAGAACTCGTGTTGCTTTTGCATTTTCATGGGTTCCCCTCGGGTCTTGGTGTTCTTGATGTTGGCTAAAAATTTTCGAGGGAAAGCCACCCGAAACCAGAAGAAGCAACACCACAAATTCGAGGAATAAACCAAGAAACGGGTTCTCAGATTCTCCCTGGAGGTTTTTTGTTTTTTGAATCCTTGTTTTTGGTTTTGGGTCTGCTGGCAAATCCGGGTGTTTGGGTTTTCCTCTAGTTGGTTTTGGTATTTCTTGGTCTTGTTCTGACAGAAAATGCCAGACACCTTGAAGAAAACAAAAAGGCAAAAACAACAAAAGCACACAAAAACAAGAAGCCAGTCCTGAAATTCTCCCTTTGGTTTGGGGGCTGCTGACCGGGAATCGGCAGCCCCGCAGGGATCATCGGTTTAGGGTTTTTTGAGAATCGCGTCTCAATCGCCATTTGCCGTGGTTTCGAGGGCAGTGTCTGTAGCTGGGGGGTGGGGGGGGGAGGGGAGGAGGGGGGAGAGTGACCATATATATGTATATACACATACACACGTACGTATAGACATACATATAGACAGACATATATACATATGTTTGTTTACGCAGTACAAAATACCGACCCTGAAGACCCCAATCTCGAAGTAGGTGGACCACGAGCTGCGAGAGTCCGCCCTGCTCACTGCCAGTGCCCTCAGCACTGCCCAGCATTGCCCATGATAATGGGTTTAGAGCTTGGGGTTGAAGTCTCTGGGGACTATTGGACAAGTTCAAGGAACCGAAAGGAACCCAAAGGAGCCTAACCAGGAAGGCCTTAAAGACCTATCGTGGTGATCCTCTGGGTTTCGAACTCCCCCAAGGTCGACAGCTGCATCGCTGCCACGCGGAAAGCGCTGGCCTTCCGCGTCGTCAGCGGTGCCTCCCACGCGAAACAAAAGGGGCGTTCAGGGGAGTTTTGGAGGCTTCAGGTCTACACACCTTCAGCATGGCCCCCTTTTGTCTGGGAACCACAACCAGCAGGAGTGTACAGGTCCCGCAATAGGGTTGGGAGGTGACCTGGGCACCGACCAGCCTGCGCTGGCTCTTCCCGGCGAGGGCGATGAGGAGAAGATGCAGGCAGGAGCTGAGATGAACTCTTGACATCCACATCCCTCAGACATGACAAGACATCTTCGATCAAGTAAAGTTATGATCTGCTTTTGCAGTGTGAATATTCTACTATATCATAGAACTTGTGAGATCTCTTATGTTAGAATATATTACAGATCATTGCGTTATGTGAGCAAAAATTGTGTGTCATATCGTATCATGTCATATGATCGCATCGCATCGCATCGTTTACCCCATCCGGATCAAAGCCAGTTGGAATCTGCTGAGGTGGGCGACCCGGGCTCACCGCGGCCAGGGGAGGTGGGGGGGGGGCCCGTGCGGAGGTTTCATTGTATCTTCTCGAGAACCCATGAGGTCGGGGTTCAAGAAAAATGGGGGCTTCGGGTTTGGGGCTAGGCTTCAGGGTTTAGTGAATTTAGTATTGTCAAAGTTTTCCTTGTAAGCTTGGACCACTGAGCCATGGACTATGACCCATCTGAAGCCCCAAGCATTTCTGAAGCTGAGCCTCGGCGGCCCTGTGCAGCTCTCCACAGCAACAAGTACAGAAGTACAGAAGTACAGAAGTACAGAAGCAAGGCCGCGGCAGACCTGCACTCGCTGCCCGCGCTCGCCGTGGTGGCGAATGGTTCAGGGCTTGGCGAAGCATGGTCGCCGTTTGGGGGTTTTGGGTGCCAAAGGAATGAACCGTGATTTGTGAAACACCCGTTTCCAGGTTCTGATGTATTGAAGCGTCGGATCACTGCAGGCACCCGCTTCAGTGGAGTGACCAAGTTCGGCCGCAGCTCGTCGCGGAGGAGCCTCTTTGATGTGGTTCGGCATTTGCAGAAAAGATGTTTTGCCACAGGTCCAGGAAAGGAGTTCCTCCCTTTATGGTTAGTCCTGCGGCGGCCCGACACCGACGGACACCAGCAAGAAGCGAAAGGCTGAGTGGAGTTGCTCTTCCGGAAGCTATGAACACTGGAATCCTGAACGCCAGCCCTAAACAGTAGACCATAATTCATAGTAGACCCTAAACTTCAATCTGCTCGAAGGACGCTGGTGCCCGACTTTCCCATGTTGGAGGCCATTGCCTCGCGTTCGCACTTCAACGTCGTGCACGATCAGGACCCGCTGCAAGGTTTAGGGTTTGGCGGGTTCAGGGTTTTAGGGTTTAGAGTTCTAGGGTGTAGGGTTTAGGGTTGGTTAGGTGTTCAGGGGTTAGGCGCTAAGGGTTTAAGGGTTTAGGATTAGGGTTCAGATGATATCTGCATGTGTGTTTTTCTGCATTCATTCGGGTTTAGGGTTTGTGGTGCTGGGTGCGGGTAGCTTTGGCTTTACTCCTGGACACAGCCAAGAGACCATTCAAAGCAACCCGGGAAGGGGCGGGGCCGGGTGTCTATGTCTACATCTTTGTGTATGTCTATGTCTATGTCTATGTCTATGTCTATGTCTACGTCTATGTCTATGTCTATGTACATGTATTTATTTCTTATATTTGTAGCCTTTTATATTTCATCTTCTCATCAATGATAAGTAAGAGAAGATGTTTGCTTTGAGAGCACGAGCGCAAGCCTGGGCCTTAAAGCTGCACAAGGGCAGAGACGCCTCCCTCGAAGCCAACCTCAACACAACAAAGCCCACCTCAACCAACCTCTCAGGAAAAGGGGACGTTTCAGCTGGTGTGTGTGCGTGTGTGTGTGTGTGTGTATGTGTGTGTGTGTGTGTGTGTGTGTGTGTGTGTGTGTGTGTGTGTGTGTGTGTGTGTGTGTGTGTGTGTGTGTGTGTGTGTGTGTGTGTGTGTGTGTGTGTGTGTGTGTGTGTGTGTGTGTGTGTGTGTGTGTGTGTGTGGGGGTGTGTGTGTGTGTGGGGGTGTGTGTGTGTGTGTGTGTGTGTGTGTGTGTGTGTGTGTGTGTGTGTGTGTGTGTGTGTGTGTGTGTGTGTGTGTGTGTGTGTGTGTGTGTCTCTCTCTCTCTCTCTCTCTCCCTCAGGAGAGCGACCAGTTTCACATCATGGACGCTGGGTCAAAGTGGGGCACCTTCCTGAAGATCAGCTCGGGGCCCTGATGTGACCCCCACTTGTTCTTCTCTCGGCGTCATGTGGTCAGAGGTTGGGGGGCCCCCAAGGCCCCAAGCCCCAAGTATGCCAAGTAGGTCTTAAAGAGACGGTGCGTGTTTCGACAGCTGGATACAGCTGGTGATGTATTGCTTTCCAGTTTTGCAGACGAGGCTCCAGCGTCACGCTCAGCTGCGGCGACTGGATCCGCGTAGGCACACCGAGCTTCCTTCTTCACGGCTGCTGAAGAGACTTAAGACTTGGGTAGTTCTCTAAGTCCTTACTGTAAGGGCGCCGTATTCGATAGTGGGGAATGCTTTAGAGACGTACCTAGCCCTAGAGTTGGGAGGCTTCGGGTTGTGGATTTCGGGCACCTCCTACAGTAATCAGCAGGCCCCTTATAAACCTTGTAAATTGCAATTTCCCGGTTGACGCTCGAAGAAATGCTCAGCAGCGTAGAGTTCGAACTGTGGCCTCCTAACCGGAGAGCGGAGCTCAAACTCTAAACCCTACACCCTAAACCCTACAGACAGGTGGAGTCGAGTTCATCGTCCGCTTCTGCGGAGGCCAGGGGCAACCCTAAACCCTACACCCCGAAAGACAAGAACAAAAGCACGCTTTGAACTTTGGGGAGTGGGGGGGGAAGGGGGTGTGCCGGTTTTGAGAGAGAGAGAGAGATTAAAAAAAATATATGTATATGTATATGTATGCAAATGGCCATAGATACAGATATACACATACATAGAAATAGATATAGATAAAGATATGGCTTGACAACTTTGGAGGACCGAAGAAGGTCAGATCAGAAGCTGGAGACCATGAAGCCCTAAACCCCAAACCCTAAACTCCTTAAACGCCCGAAGGAAGACCTGAAACACCCTACAGTAAAGGCGTTTTTGAATCGCCCAGGAGGTTGCCGCTGCCAGAAAAGCCACCGGCACTACCGCTTGCATTCCCTGCGGCTGATGACCAGCCGGGCCAGGGACTTGGAAGATGATTTCGTTTCGGGGGGGGGGGGGGGGGTGAGGATCCTGGAGTTTTGGGTGTGCAATTGGGGGGGGTAGTTTTTGGTGTATAGGGTGCAATATAGGGTTTAGGGTTCAGGGCAGACGTCATAATTAACATAAACAGATACTTTCACGAACATGCTGCTTTATGTGTGTATGCACGCGTGGACTTACACGAAGCTGCGCTCGCAGTTGCTCACAGCCGTGCAGACATGTATGCCAGTAAGTGTGACAAGGTTCCTGGACAGCTTGGTACCCACTGGCACTATCTGCGCACTGTTGGGCACGAAATGAGAGTTTTGATGTACACTGGGACAGCAGAGTCGAGTCCGACGGACCAGCTGCTTCATGTCTTCAATTCCGGTTCTTCGCAAGACCCCTATATGCATCATTTCCTTCGAACATCCCGTACAGGTAACTGCTGCGGGAGCCATCCTTCCGTTTTCGGACCGATAATTGCTTCGCCGCAGGCATCTTGTCGCGGGACTCTGCGCAGAACTCTCTGGGGGATTGCGGGACCTTTGCGAGATTTTTTTGGGCGGGTCACTCCTGGGAACGCATGATGGGCAGGGGCACGACGCGGAGCGCCATATCACGACTTCCATAGGGGTGCAGCAAAGGGCCACTGAGACTTGCGACTTGATCTAGTTGAGTTGTTGTCGACACGTCTCTCAAGTTCTTCTTCCGTGTGCGATTCTGTTGCTTTGTTGAGGCCTGCAGGATGAGCCTTTCCAGGCAGGGCGCATGCTCCACTGCCATCCGGCACCAATGCTTCGTCGGAACAAGAGCGTTGCGTTGTGAACGTTGTGTGCTATTCTGGCTCTGCCTCATGTTGTGCCATTTTCTGGGAAGCTGCCTCGGAGGCTGACCCCAACCTTTCCAGAGATTCCTGAGGAGCTTGGATCTTCGCAAGCTGGCACCGGTCAACACTTGCATTTTGTCCATCACGAGTTTTGTAGCTCTCCTAGAGAAGCCGCCTTGCACCTGCGCGTCAGGAGCCAGCGTCACCAAGGTCCGACACCTGCTCCATGAAGAAGGTGCCATAGCACTCTGTACTTTCGCATGAATCATGGCGGGTCCTGAGCAGACAGAGCGGAATTGATCATCCTCAGTTGCCTCTCAGTGTTTCCAGCACTGTTCCTGCCTCTTTGCACCAACTCGGGGAGCCCATGCAGGACGACAGCGCTGCGTGCCCAGGCGGATCTTGCACGGCCCTAAATGGCCCTAAGCCGGTATGCTGGCTCTTGGACTCTTGGCCCTTGTGCTTTTGCCAGGCCTTAAGGCCTTAAGGCCTTAAGGCACGGCATTGCACAGCGCTGCCAGGTGTTTCTCGGCCGGTGGAGCTGAGAAGGACCCGGAACAGCGGCCGCCAAACTCACAAAGACATGGTGAGGGGGTGCTGTTGTGGTGACCTGAGTTGAACAGCCTGAAGGTGCCACGAATCCGATGCAAACTTTGAATTAGGCCCCAACCCTCGAGCTGCTTTCTCCAGGTTTGTCCTTTCCCCTTGCTCTTCGGGGAACTCATAGGGTCTGCGAAGGACATCGGTGGCAGAAGGCACCGAGGATGGTGCCCCCGCATTGCCAGGTCCATTTCAGGGATTCATTTTGCTTGTGGATGGTTCGGTTCTTTACCAAGGTAACTGCTTAGAAAGATCCGTACTCTGTTCTGCGTCAAGATTGTGTGAAAAGCTTGTGCCACGGCGGCGCTCTCGGGGCAGCAGGAAGGAAGTCGAGCCAGTGTACCCACAGGCTTCTGCCGTCTAAGCAAAATGCCACACCACACCCTAAACCCTCTCGGATGGGTTACCTCCCCTGATCATCCCTACCCCGCACAGCTGCGTCAACGTTATGATGATATCTGGTGACAGGAGCTCGCTCAACCGGTCTAGCCTCCCTTTCCAAGACCCTTTCTGACTTTTTGCGAGAAGCAGCCCTTCATTTGCGCGCTTCCCTCATAAAAGCGGCCAAGCCCACAAGCCCTAAACACGAAGCCCTTGTCACAACATGATATCGGGACTGCCTAGATTTAGGGTTTTGTTTTGTGGCTCACTGAGGTACTGAGGACGGATCCTCGGATGAGGAGCTTGCAGAAGGAAGGCTCGAGGCCAGCAGAGCGAAAACTGCGGGGGAAAGGGGGGAAAGGGGGGAAAGGGGGGTGGAGTAATTAAGTGTTTGGAGTTTAGGGATTGGGGTGCCTTTTGCCTCAGCTGCTAATCCTGCAACGCGCCTGAACCCTACAGCCCAAACATGCCCAAACCCTACAACACCGGAATTTAGCTCTCTGAACCCTGAACCATCAAATCCTGAGCCCTCAAGTCTCGAAGTTTATTCTAAGACAACCAAAGTCTAAGCCCCAAAGCCCCAGGCCTCCCAAACCCCAAACCCCTGACACACCATTAACCCCAAACCGCCCAGAGCGAGCTCATGCTGACGCTCAGCTCCCGGAAACCTCGGGGGCTCGGGAGCCAAGAAGTGAGATCCCGCACACGTTAAGGGCGTACAGGTTTTGTAGGGGCGCCTATGGGGGTTTAGAGGCTTTAGGGGCTGAGGGTAGTTCTGGGTTTACGGGTGTTTAGGCATACGGCCCTGTGGACTGTTCGAAAATTCCGTGGAGACTTTGACGGTGAAGGCGCCTGGCGTCAGCAAAGCAGGGCGGGGGTTTGGGGGTATATAGGGGTTTCATAAGTTGATGTTCTCGATTTTGGGGAAATGCCGTTAATTGTATGGATTGGGGTTGTTCAGGATTTTGGGTTGCCATGGGGGAGGGGGCCGTCGGGGAATGGGGATACGTGCAGGGTTACTAGCAGTCCCGTGCCGGCCCTGTGTCACTCTGAGTCCTCGAGGGAGAAAAGGTGGGCTTTCGTTGCCTTCCAGAGGAATACAGTCAGATCAGAAAGGCTCCGTTGATCTTCGTTTCTGTCCTCACTTCCCCTCAAAGGTCGTCAAGCAGATCCCAGCTTCAAGTTGTGAGTTTGGTTCTTGGGGCACTGCCGCGCCATTCGGAGGCATCATGCGCATGGATAAGGGTCCATGTCCGGCTGGCTTTTTCTTGTAGGGCCCGAAGTGGCAAACCCTGAAATAGGCTTCCGCGAGCTGTGTTCAGAAGCTCAGGTGGCTGTCCACGGCGGCGCGCCACAGCCAGGAGGCGGCATGCCGGCCTCAGGAGGCACGGTGAACTCTCCACGATGCGGGTTTTGTTTAAAGCTGCAAGCCCTGTTATGATCTGCTTCGTAGAAGAGGCCCCTTTGCCGGAAGGCCTTGTGGTGGACGACGAACCATTGCATGCCCGATCCTGCTTCATGTTACCCGCCTGAACGGGGTTCTTTGTAGTGAAGGAGTGTGGAAATGACTATTCTTGCGACACGTGTATGGTAGCTCGTTTTAAGTTCCTTGACGAGAAGAAAGTGGAGGCCTCCGCGGCGCAAGAGGTTGGGATTCGGCAGCGCTGGGACTCACACAGGCAGGGAAATTGAAAGCCTGTCGCCTGGAGCTATCATCTGCTGTCATCCAGGGAGCTGTCACGCCATGGCCACTAGCTCGGCAGGCCCGGCACGTGTGTGCCCATTGCGCCCTTGGAGCTGGACTTCATCTCAGGCAGACGCGGGGGAGGATGTTTATACAGACATATATATATATACACACACACACTGGTTCAAAACACAAGGGCGTGTCATCAAAGCTCAGTTTGACTCTGGCTCTGCGGATTCGGGGCATTCAATGTCCAGGTCCCCGGATGGGTGAGAAGATCGTGCTTTGCGAACGCGCCGGGGGCCCAGGGATGCAGAACCTGGGCCTGAAAGCCCACGAAGTGAACTCTCAGACGCATCAGAAACCATCAGGTCTGTAGGTAGGGTTTACGGTTTATGCGCGAATCTCTGCATTCCCATTCGTCCTTTAGGCTCGCAAGTTTGGAGAGTCCCTTCAGGTCTGTACGCTTGGCCGGGGCGAAGGCAATACGATCCAGGCCCGAGGGGGGGGTCGAGGAGACAGGGAGGAGGTTTGGGGGAATGCTTGCTGTCTTCGTTTCGGGGTTAAGAGTATGGCGTCGCGGAGTCAATTCTGCAATTGCGCATGCCCGTTGCGGAAGCCTTGAAAGCGCGAGCACGGCTGCAACCTTCGAAGTCCCGAGGGTTCCTTATCAGGTCACAGACTCGCAGCTGACCTCCGTGTCGCGTGTGCACTGCATCTTTGAGCGCCGTGGATGCGGTTGGGAGCGGCCTGTTCTGTCGTCACTTCATCTCCTCTAAGTTCAAAGTGCCGCATCTCAGGTTCTCCGGCAACCGGTGGCGGATGCGCGACAACAGCTCGACCAATGGCAGCTCGGCTCTTTCCAAAGTGCTCATGGGGGCAGTTGATGGCATGTTTGCAGAATCCTGGAAGATGTCTTCCAACTTACACACTATGTGTGATAAGCACGTCGTACGATACTACAAAAAAATATCTATGCTTTCTTGTGCTATGCTAGATCATACATGTCGTTTCTATTCAGAAATGTAGTTGTGCAACATGGAGGCACGTGGAGGCGCCTCAGCTGCGTCTTGGAACCTTCGGAGGCTGTGCCGGTGCACGGTCCGATGTCCATCCAGGCGCGCAACTGGGGGGGGGGGGGGGATTGGGCTTTCGGCTGTGCCTTGCTGCAACTTAGGCAGCCTCTAAAGAGCGTTTGCCATAGCGATCATACTGTACAGCAGGGGGTAGGGAAACTTAGAACAGTTTTTGGTCCAAGAGCGTTCTGCAAAGGCTGGCACGCATGAGTTCTTCGTGAAGCCCACCGAGATGAGGCCGGTGCTCTTGGGTTGTCACTTGTGCCTCTGTAGCTGTTTGCTGCTTCACTCAAACTTGCGTTGTTTTCGTTCTTTTTTTTCTGAGGCAGATTTGTTCGGGGCTTACACCTCGATAGTTGATTCATCAGCACTGGAAGGGCGTGGGGGTGGGCGGGTGGGGGGGGGGGGGAAGGCCGGTACCTCAAGCTGGGAACAGAAGGAGCCATGAGATGCCATTTGCAAGGACATTGCAGCCCACAAGCCTACTCAGCTGACAGTGCCATGCAAATGCATCTGTGCAGGCAGTGCCTTATCCCCTCGCCTGGACGATCAATTCTCGAGGATGCAAACCTCTGAGGCTGGAGTTGAACGGTGTCGAGTCAGGTGAAGTCCGTGTCTATTTAGACCTTAGACAATCCCTGAACCTGGTCAGTGCTGGTATGCAGGATTGCACCTCGAGCAGGTGACTGGTACATGCCGGTGGTGAGGCTGCGGGGCGAGCCCGAACCCTTTCCTTCCGGCCCTACGGCCGACTCGTAGCAATCTCAAAAAACATGATTCAAGGTTTAGTGTTTAGGGGTACGGATACCTCCAAGCATTCCCGGTAATTGACGCCCCTGCAATAAGAGAAGGACGATCCCGTCCGCAGGAAGCTCACCCCAGGACATCAACTTGCGCCCTGTATGGAACCCCCTGGCATTCTGTAGCCTTGTGGTACCACCTTGAGCTGCTGCTAGTTTGCATACGGGCCCTAATCCCTATATAATCTTCTGTAACTATCAAAACTCGCAACAGCTACCAGCAAGTCATACCTCACAGCAAGACCTAGTAAGATGAAGGGCTTAGAGTACCCAATCTCCTAATAAGAACCATAAAGTCTTCGCAAGATGGGGCTTAGGGTTAAGGGTTTAGGGTTTCAAGTTTAGGGGAAGGGAGCCTCCAGCAGCCTTGCCCCCGCGTGAGCCCCTTGGGCTGAATCCTGGTAGGGCCTTGGGGGTTCGGGCCATGGGCTTCACTTCTCGGAATCCAAAACCCCTAAACCCCTAAACCCCCAAACCCCCAAACCCCCAAGCCCCAAAACCGCCCAAAGCCCTGTTGAGCTGAACAAAGTGCAGCATCTATGAGTTGCAGGTATGTCCCAAACCCTAAACCCTAAACGTTTAGAGTATCCCCTCTTACTTGGTCACAGAACCCTTGAGGCCTTGTTCACGAGGCGGTTTATATCAGCCATGTAGGTTTTAGGGTTCATGTGAATGGTTGGGTAGGGTTTAGGGGTACAGGTGGCGTTCCCAGCAATTTCCCTCTGCCCTCGCCCGGGCCTCCATTCGCCTCACAGCTCGCGATCCTGCCGCACAGAGTTTGTTTTTGAGGCTTCAAGGTCAAGGTACTCCATGCTACCATCTTAGAGTGGGCAGTGTCGGAAAAAACACTGTGCTCAGGGTAGCGGACTCCGAACCGTCTGTGGAGACGAGACTTCGCGCGCTTGGGGTTCAGGGTGCTTAGGTGCATCGGGGCTGCGGCGGGGCTTGGCCACGCCCAGTGGCGCCCGAAACCCAATCCCTCAATGTCCGGAGCCGAAGCCAATTGTCCCACGACGGTGCGGAGTCAAGCACCTCTGTGTGTTTCTGCTGCGCAGCTCCAAATCGACTTCAACGGGTGGCCGCACCCTCCGGCAAGGGTTTGTTGGATGTGGAGCCTGTCGAGGGCGTTGAGAGGCCAGCGGACCCCAACAGCACTAAACTCACACAAGCCCTAACCACACATGTTGTGGTGTGTGCATGTATATATATATGTATATTTAGAGAACCAAAAAGCCTAAAGAAAACCCAAAAAGCACCCTTCAGAAGACACCGAAAAACCGTACAAAAGAAAATCATACAGCAAAATCTCCAATAATACACAAAAATCCTCAAAAAGAACCAACAAAACCAAAAAAACCAATCCTGGGAGACTCTTCCCAGGGGTCCGGCTCCCCAACAGAATCCCTCAGGATTGTTTTTTTTGTTTTTTTGGTTTTCTTGCACAAGAATCCACAAAAACCAAAAAAACAAAAAAAACAATCCTGAGAGACTCTTCCCAGGGGTCCGGCTCCCCAACAGAATCCCTCAGGATTTGTTTTTGGTTTTTTTTTGTGTTTTTTTGTTGTTGTTTTTGTTTTTTTGTTTTTTTTGGTTTTTTTGGTTTTCTTGCACAAGAATCCACAAAAAAAAAAAAAAAAAAAAAAAAAAAAAAAAAAAAAAAACAATCCTGAGAGACTCTTCCCAGGGGTCCGGCTCGCCAACAGAGTCCCTCAGGATTGTTTTTTTTGGTTTTTTGGTTTTATTGTGGTTTTTCCAGTTTTTTTTGTAGGGCTTTTTTGTGCATTATTTCTTGTTGCACGTTTTTGGTTTTAAAGTTTTGCGTTTTTTTTTGTGAAAAAAGTGCACTCCCACTGCATCCCATTTTCTATATTTATTTTTTATTTGTTTATTTATTTATTTATTTATTTATCCGTGTATGTATGTGTGTGTGTGTGTATGTGTGTGTAAACATATACAAGTTAATTTAAGTATAAGTATATGTCCCCGTTATGCTGAATACCTTGTAGCAACTCCTAAATGCCCGGCATTAGGGTGGACAATTCGATTTGCAGAGGGCGACCTACCATAAACACCGTGTTGTCTGTTAAACCTATACATGTATATATGTTTACACACACATATATATATATATATACATACGTATGTGCATGCCATGCACGTGCGTAATGTATGTATGTAGGTATGTACGTATGTATCTGTATGTGTGACTGTACGTATGGATGTGCACACGTCTGCTTTATTGAACTTTTCGACATCGCTTAAGTCCCTTAGTGTAGCAAAAACCTCGAGAGATACAAGGGCCCTTGCACGACACGCTGGTCAAGGGCCTCTCCAAATGCTGGGTCAGGTGCTCTTCATGTGAATACGCGCGGTTTTTACATTATATTGTATAGACATGGGGTTCTAGATGCTGTATGTTATAGAACTTTACATGCAACCAGTATGCTCTTGGGGATTCAGTAGTATCGTTGCAGAGGCTCGTGCACTCACACGATATCTCTTGCACTCACTACGGATGCTTGCGGCTCGATGGACAAGCTCTGCCGGCAATGCATTTCTCGAATAACTCCTTCATCTCGTTCATCTCTTGAGCAGTGGCGAGCAAGGGCAGTTCTGACAGTTTGGACGAGTCGACATGGCCTTTACTCGCTGCTGATTCGCCTCGGCACGTGCATCGGCCAAAATGGTGAGGGAAGTGCAACCCGCAGTCGGCACCTGGTAAGCAGTGCACCGCGTCCCTTTTACCATTCGAGACTGTGTAGAGCGAGGGAGGGAGAGGGAGAGGGAGGGAGAGGGAGAGAGCGAGGACTGACTGACTCCCGGAGTTCTGGGCGTGGAGTAGGCCGTGAAATCAAAGGTTGAGGAGAGGCCGTATATGAGGCCGCATGAAGCTGCGTGTCTTGCGGAAGTTGGGTCTCAGAGCAGGCCTGGCAGTTTTTAGGGACCTGGGATTTGCAGCAAGGCCAAATAGGGCCATTGGCCATGGCAGCTTAAGGTCCGAAATCTTAGCGCCTTTGTGTCAACGTGTTGCAAATCCCGGTATACGACAGCCAAAGCCACAACCCGAGCAAATATTGAAGCGTCGGCGCCGCTGCCCTCTGCATGCTCAGATGGGCTTGTGTTTTTGGGGGGCTCAGGTTTAAGAAGTGCACACCGGTTGCACACCCGCGAAACACACCCCGAAACATACCCCCGAAACATACCCCATAACATACCCCCGAAATTGCAGGTAAAGTAGCTCATGATGCCGCGAAACATGCATACCCGAAACATACATACCCGAAACATACCCCATACCCCGAAACATACCCCGAAACATACCCGTGAAACATACCCCGACCCCAACACCTGTCGCACGCCAACCCATAAGACACAAACCCACATGGCTTTCATGGAGCAGCTCTGTTTGAGCCCAGGAATGTGTGCTGTACAATCATCTGCAGAAAGGCATCCCAATTCACATTGCATCGGGCCACGATCTGTGGCGCCGAGGCTGGGTCGGGGGATCCTGCGTGGGCTGGTTCTGCGACGGTCCGGAACTTGGCTTCAGCTTGAGAACGGCTTGCCTTGTCAAAAGCACCTGCTGAACTCAAGGCCGCAGAAGCCCATGCCTCGGCAATCTGCAATTTTCCCCTGTGCTGCTTTAGGGTCTCGATTTGGGAGCCAGGTTTTTTGGGTGGTTTTTTGTTTTTTTTGGTATGTTTTTGGGTTTACAGTTGAGGGTTAGGGTTTAAGGCTTAGGGTTTAGGGGTTTAGGGTTTAGGGTTTAGGGTTTAGGGTTTTAGGGTTTTAGGGCTTTAGGGTGTTAGGGTTTTTGGGTTTTTGGGTTTTTGGGTTTTTGGGTTTTTGGGTTTTTGGGTTTTTGGGTTTTTGGGTTTTTGGGTTTTTGGGTTTTTGGGTTTTGGGGTTTTTGGGTTTTTGGGGTTTTGGGTTTTTGGGGTTTTGGGGTTTTGGGTTTTTTTGGGGTTTTGGGGTTTGGGGTTTGGGGGTTTTGGGGTTTTGGGGTTTTGGGGTTTTGGGGTTTTGGGGTTTTGGGGTTTTGGAGGTTTTGGGGTTTTGGGGTTTTGGGGTTTTGGGGTTTTGGGGTTTTGGGGTTTTGGGGTCTTAGGGGTTTAGGGGTTTAGGGGTTTAGGGTGCTGGGTTTAGGGTTTAGGCTTGAGGGTTTAGGGTTTAGGGTTTAGAAAACCAAAAAAGATACCCAAAAAAACAAAAAATACCCAAAAAGAACCCCCACCCCTAGATTTTGCGCGTATCAAATCATGGAACCTATAGATTGTGAAGATCATGGCGTTTGTGGTGGCCGGAAGTCTAGGTTGCAGAACGACCAAGCCACAAGGCAGTTGACGACCATGTGACTGGGCTTTGGGTAAATCCTAGCCTCTCCGTAAACCCATTCTGACCTGCAACAGGCTGTGGTGAGCGTCTCGCGGCGCTCACCCGCTTCTGTGGCTCGCAGGCGGGAGTAACTGTGTGATCTACAGTTCTAAAGGTCAATGTCGTTTCTCGTTGATTCCCCGCCAGTCAGGCTCCGCGCCTCCTTGGCAGCAGCTCGGACCAGTTTACAAGATTGAGGTTGGTGCTGAGGGCTTCAAAAGTTTTACAGGGTCTATCGTGGCACTGCAGGAAATGTCAAAAATGAAAACGCCTGTTATAAACCAATAAGCAAAGCATGCGTATATAGGAAGCGAAGACGCACCACTAAGCAAGGCAACCGCATATAGAAAGCCAAGACGCAACTAAGCAAAACAACAGCACGTATAGTGAGCGAACATGCAC